TACGGCGCAGCTGCCGTCGGGACAGCGAGTTACGGGAGTTCAGAACAACGTCTGACGCCACTTTATCCAGGAGGATGGAGTGTGAATGGAGATGCACACACTGTCCTTCACCTCAGGGCATCAGAAATAACCTACCTTGGGTTCTTGCCTGTAGCACCAAAGTTGACACTGAAGACAGACAATGCAAGAGGACTTTCTGTTTGCTTTGCAGAATCAACCCCTGGGTGCAGAACCCAGGGCTCAGACCTAGTCTGGAGAGCTCCAATACACTAGCATGTCCCCACACCTCTGAGCATCTTCAAACACACAGATCAAAGCCTTGTCACCACTGGAGCAACTCAGTGCTGGGTGAAAACCAGCCACAATGTCACCATTACTGCTTTTCCCTTGGAGCCATCCCACATGCACATCCAGGAGGTACCCAGCTCATGGGAAGACAGACAAGGGATGGCGAGGCTGCAGGCTCCCACTGCACAAACTGTTTGTCCTACAGCAGGTATCAACAGCCTGATGATAAAACAACACATAGACTGTGCTCTGTCAGACATAGAAGAGACATTTATTAGTTCTTGATCACAAACAACGTCCTCCATTGACAAGCTGAACGAAGGGCACTTCACTGATTTATTAGATCTAATAAGAAACACACCTCTTGGGATGAAATACAAGATTGATTTTTAATAGTAAGCCAGGCTGCTGTCCCAGCTACTGTGCTCAGCCTGATGAGCCTGAACCAGGCACGCACAGGGACAGAGCAAGCAGAAACAGCACTGGGTGGGAGAAACAAACGGCAAGATTTGCACGAGGAAGGGGAGCTGAAATGGGAACAAGGCTTGTAACAGCAGCCCTTCAAACTGAGGGTTTCTCTTCTCTTCCTGCAATCCTTCTCTCTGCCACCAACCTATATATCTTAAGAGCTGAGCAGCAAACTGTTAGGAAGTTTAAGGGCAACTCCAGGATGGTTCTTGGGAAACCTCTGAGTCAGACCCTTGCCACGCATCTGCCCCTCTAAATATAGCAAGCACAATTTTCACATCAGTCTCAGCATCTACCAGACAAACCACATTAGCTGAGTTCCGTGGATGCCGTTTTCCATCAGGAAAAAGACAACTAGCACAGCAGTGCTTAGCTTGAGGCCCTATTAATAGCAGTCCTAATTATATGGCTGCAAATTTAATTCATAGCAATGATTAGTGTCAAAATCAAAGGCATCACACATCAATATTGATGGAATGGTACGAAGCCCATAAACAGAAGAAGCAAGCTGACACATCTCCCCCCAGCAGTTAGTTGCTGGTAACTGTTGCATTAATGTCTCTGCTAATTTTGCTCGATGAAAATTGGTTTATTGCCGGAATCCACAATTCCAAATGATTACATCTCTAACATGATCCCCTTCCCCCTTACTACCCCAATTACAAAGCTGAGACACTTTGGAAGGAGCAGCTGACCAGTCCAGGGCAGCCACAGCAGATACAAGCACAACCTCGACCCTGAACTCAAACCCTGACCCCAAATGCTCGGGTACCTCACAGGAAAGATGCCAAGTTCATTGTCAACTGACTTATCTGATATTCTTGACTTACTTGTCAGCAGCTCTGGCATCAACACCCCTCAGTGCAGCGTGGCCATGCCAAACTCACAGCTGGGCTGTGTGGACCCCAGGGGTGACCTGCCCAGTCTGCCCACACTGGCCAGACCCTGTGGGACTCCAAAACCTGCAAAGCAAGTGGTGAGCTCAGCTGCCAGCTTCACCACAGGGCTCTGCACCGCTCCTGAGCCAACAGAAAACTTATCTCCTTCCTTTACAAGTCAGCCAGTGCTGGCTGCTGAAGAGCAAAAAGAGATTTCAAGTGTACCCAGGGAACAGGAAAGGGGTAGAGGTTGACAAGATGGGGCTGTACCAGAAGAGTGCAGGCAGGGATGTCTGGGCAGGCAGGCAGGGGCTTGGGGACCTTCAGCAGTCAGCTCCTTTGGAGGAGAGAGGCTGAAGCAGCAGCAGTTCCTCTCCTAGGGAACGTCCCGGGAGGCAGCGAGGTGAACAGCTAATGGGAAAAAGGACATCGGCGAGATAACGCGGCATTTGCAGTAATGAATTCTCACTGGGGAAGCACAGGCAAATGTGAAAGATTTCAGAGCTGGCTCCCTGACTTCTTTCCTCCAGCTACACAAGTGTCCTCTTTGAAATCCCAGACAGAGCCACCAGCATGTTTCCAAAGTCAATCAGTGGCTGTGGGAGAGGGAATAGGTGTGACGTAGCTTTCAGACATTAATGGTGTAGGTAGGTATGCAAGGTGGCGAGCTGGAGGAGACAAGGAGTCTATCTGTAAATCTCTGGCACTTACAGAGCTGCGTACATTTTTACCACCCTCATTTCACATATGGGGAAGAAGAGATATGGAAACATTTAGAGTCCTGAGCACTCGCTGACTTTGAGACATGTCTGGTCTTGGAACACACACAAAAACTGGAGACAACCTGGTAACTTCCCACCGGGTCTGCAACGAGAGTCCCAAGAGCCCCACAGTTCCATACAAAGCTGTTTCCTACACTTCACCTGGACTCTCTTAAGCCATGTAAAAGATAATCCCACATGTCAAATGAGAAAAGATTTACTAAAAGTGCAGACAGGACCGCAAGGCAGAGAGGAACAACATTCCCAGCCCCACAGAGCAGAGGACGGGACAGCAGTTGCTCCAGCTAATGATAACAGGAGGCGTGAGTCTCATCAGCTGTAGACAACTCTGAGCCATGGGAAATGAGAGTCCTTGGCAGTTGCCATGACAGGCTGACTGCAGTCAGTGCCTGGAATGAGCTCGCTGGAAAAATGAACCAGTTTTCTCAGTGCCTGGTTACCACTGGCTCAAGCACAGGTAAAAGGTGAAGGATTCCCACTGCCCTCCTTTCCCCATCTCCCCAGTCCTGCCCAGCCCCTGCCTCTGGACAGTGAAGTGGATGAGCAGGAACAGATTAATTTGGCATCAAAAAGGTAGATGTTCAATATAGAATAGCACAAGGAATTAAACCGTGCTGGAGAGACAGCTTCTTCTGTAATCCCACCTAATTCCTGGGATGCACAGTAAATTCCTAGTGTGCAGGCACAAGCTGTTGGCTTTAACTGTCTCTAAATGAGGCATCTCCCCTATCCCCCCCCCCCCGACAAAACCCTGCAAACAGCAAGTACCAGGCTGTGGGACTGGCTTGCAGCTTGATAACACATGTGTCTGCAATATGCTGAGGGTGCCTCTTCCATCCACTCCGGAAAAATCCCGACACTCCAGTGTGCCACAGCAGGGATGGCAGGGAGCAGAGGGGCTCTGCTTCCCAGCCCACTCCCCCCCACCTTCCAAATTGCCCCACTGACACTCAAGAGGCACCAGGGAGGCACTTAATTTACTACTACTCAGCACTTGTAAAGTGCTGAATGAATATTAATGAACTGATGTAATTAAAATGATGCAGACATTCAAGTGTAATATCTGCCTGTCCTTGTATCTTCCTGGATAGATGAGGAAGAAATTCCCTGCTGCTCAGGGACACAAAAA